TTAATTAAAACGAAACTGAGGAAACAGAGAGCTTTAAATATAGCATATTTACTCAAAATAATACACCACAATTACTTTTAAGTACACTATATACCATGAACATCAATTGTCAAATCACATACATGTTTTGACAGTTCTGCTAGGAAGAAAATAAAGTTTAAGAAAGGAATATGTAATTGAGTTGTGGTACAGAGCCCGAATGGGCAACGGCTCAAATGGCTCAAAAAAAATTTTTTTTTTTTTTTTTTTTTTTTTTTTTCTTTTCAGCCGGAGAAAGGAGGAAGACGAAGGAGGGGGAGGGGGAGGAAGGAATGGAGGTCGACAAAACGTACAATATAAACAGTTATATTTGTTTAATCTTCTACTCCATCCACTTTCATAAAGAAAAATGTTTTTTAACATAATAATCTCAAAGAATATTTAATTAATTGAAATGAGGCTAAATGCCATTAAATTGAAATGAAATTATTCTTCTTTAACATCTGCCAAATAATTACTCCATTACATTTTTCTTTTATCAAACAAACTCTACCTTAAAGTCAAAAAATCAATTTTTTTTTTTAAAAAAATGTGCAACTCGCTCGTGGCAGTGCTTAATTCCCATCTATATATATACTACTTGCATAGGCGTCGAGCTTCGCACGATTAGCCATGCCTGTGATAAGAGAAAAAAATTGAATTGTTAAACTTCTAATATTTATGTAATCCAATTATGGTGTATTATTTGAGTAAGTATACTAGTTGCGTAGGCGTCATGTTTCAAGGATTATGTACTAATCAAAACTGAGGCAAAATACGGAGAATAATTTTTTTCAACAACATAAACAACTATATACCATGAACATCAATTATCAAAACATGCACAAAACAACTACAGAGAGCTTTAAATATAGCATATTTACTCAAAATAATATACCACAATTACTTTTAAGTACACTATATACCATGAACATCAATTATCAAATCACATACTCGTTTTGACGGTTCTGCTAGGAAGAAAATAAAGTTTAAGAAAGGAATATGTAATTATATCTAAAGGAATAACACCAACAGTATTTGTGCAGAAATTTTCATCACCAAACAATTAGTCTAATTTCTCTTGGAATAGGATGTTCCTCGGCCTATTGGGTAAATTTATCAGACTGAAAATAAGAGACATAAATATATTCAATAATGATCACCAACACATGTTTCAAGGTAATATATTTGCTCTTGAATTAATAGTACAACAATGATTCATCCCACTAATGCATTAAAAAAGTAATAAAAAAAAAAAAACACAATTTCAAGACCAAAACATCACATCATTTATGGCGGGACCCACTGCCACCTAATTAGTGGGAGCACTAATTAATGGGAGCAAGCATTTTTCTTAATAGTATAGTTCATATTTTTTTAATATTATTAAACCTTGAAAAGAACAAAATAGAAAATGTGCCAAAGAAACACCATTTGTGAAAAACATCATGATGAAAGGGTATTCACACAAATCAGACTGGTGACGCCTCTTGTCAATAGATGTAAAAATAAATATCCCCAACGCAAATAAATAAAATAAAATAAAAACATGAATATTTCATAATCTATTGAATCAAGAGGAAACCAAAAAAGAAAAAAAAATACAACGTTAAAATAATGCAACTATTGAAAAGCTATACATCAGGCAAGTTAGAGCACAAAATATCTGATACATAAACGCTACGTATAGATACAATCAAAGGAGACCATCTTACTTAGGTCCAGGTTGATTCCAAGAAAAACAATCATTTGCCCCCACCTAGAGCTAAGTAAGATTGATACTGAAGATTTTGCTCACTGGCAGAACTGCTTAAGTCCAATTCAACTTTGATAGCAGGAGTGTATTTGAATGGAACGAAAAGATACAAAGAAGTGATGTCTTGCTCAGGTCCAAGTTGGTTCTGAAAAAATAATTGTTTGCCCCTACCTGGAGCTGAGTAAGACTAATGCTGGAAGTGTAGCCCTGAAAGAATTATCCAAGTCTGTTCCAATGCTGTTTGCATGCAGCAGTACTGAAGTGTTAATGTTTTTGTACTTAAGAAATTCTATGCTTTTAAAAAAGAAATGGTTATTTGAAAAATCCGTTAGTGCGGTTTCTACTAAGCAATTTCACTTGGCTAAGTTCCATTTTGGTTGCCAAACATAATTCCACCAAGCAATCTCACTTGGCATGTTTGAGTGCAGACCAAAATCAAATTCCGTTCAATCGCTCCAAAACTAATTTCGTTTGGTAAACACTAAAGTTAATCTGTTTGGTAAACTCCAAAGCTAATCACTTTCATGTTGCCCCCCAGGGCTTGGATTATAAAGACTTTTAAGTAATAATCTGTTCTGGCCATAAAGCTTATACAGGAGCTGGAAACAAAAGTTTAAAAAAGTCGGAAGACATTCTCATTAATCAAAAGATAAATGCCTTTACACTTAATGGATAATTTTGGGGGCTAGTTTATTGATAGTACTTCTTGAGGTTTGCTACATTCCAGGTCCGAGGTATGGCCTTGCCCTTGAGATTCTTCATGTAGTATACTTCATTCCCAGCACCTCCTCGCATAATTACGCAGTGTTTCCTTCTATTCCTTTCGGAGACCGAACTAGGTGTCTGGCTCCTTAGGAATTTTAGTGTTGGAGACAAATCTGGCTAAGAATTCTTCGAAAAGCTGCTTCCATAATAAAAAAACAAAAATCTACTTTTAGATTGTTATCACTCAGTGGTTGTGTGTACGTGTAAATAAATGTATAAATAAAATAAACAACAAAATAACAATAAATAATCCAAAAAATAATTATATAAAGTAAATTCTGAATCAATTGCTTACAGAAATTATAAGTCGAGGCTTGTGTTGGACACAATCTCCTTAAAGTAAATTTCGCCTTCGCTTCGGTGCTTCGAGATTTAACGACGTCTACTTCTCAAGATGCAACAACTACTACTTGATTTGCAGTACTACAAAATCAAGTCTAGTGAACCAAACAATGCTGTAACTCTCTCTTTCTTTTCCTAAAAACTAAATAATAGACAAATGCAGGAGCACATGAGGACGAACAGAAGAAGAAATGAAAAAAATGTTTGGAAAATTTGATAAAATGAATTGCTGGAATGGCAGGCTATTTATAGCCTACCATGCACCTATTCGGGTTGGACTTAGTGGTTGTTTGGAGATGGCCAGAAAGGTGCAACCAAAACAACATTGGTTCGGAAAGGAGGCAAATTCGAATTCAAAATTTTGGCGTAAAATTTGAATTATTTTTGTATAGAAATTTTTTTTTTTCCGCAAGAATTTGAAAAAAAAATTCAAACGAATTTCATCCAAAAAATTAAAGTTAGGACCGACTTGACCTACAACCGCGCCTGGCTCGACCGGTAGCGATGGTGTGCGAGCGTGTGGTGGTTTTGGGTCAAGCCCACTTTATCCATAACTCTCCTCCTTACAAAACTTGGGGTGCCCCTTAGGGCCCATCCCAAGTGTGGCAAGCTAAAGTATATATACTTAAAAAAATCCTTAAACCTTTCTTATGTAGGACAAACACATTTCACAAATGTATAGAAAATTCACCTAAAGCCATTTCCATGAACCCAAAAATGCGTGTTGAATTCTCAATCATCCGTAAATGGCTTTGAGCAACCAAATATACGATGTTATTCACTACGCGACATTAAACATAAACACAGTTAGAAACATTAAAAATAACACTTGAATCCTATCTTAATTAATACTCAAAATCAGCAAAATAAAGTTTTGACAAAACCATTTTCCAACGAGCCCCACTCCCGCCTTACCACAACTATCACCACCTACTAAATTTGCCCCACCGTAGTCCACTCCACGCTGCCTTGTTGCCATCCCTAATTATCGTTGTCCAATTGCAGCATCTTTCAATTTGCCCACATCCACTCAAGTCGTTCACTGAAAACCCCACACTTCCCTTTCCCTGTAATGATTGACACCCCGGCTCTCTTCTCTTGACAGTGGCATCTACCGCCATCGCGCCCTCTTCTTACTTTGCCATGACTAATCCATCTCCCTTCCCCCAGCAAGATTGTGAAACTTTAATGGTGAACCCCAAACCTACATTCTAATTATAAAAAAATTATAAAAAAAAAAAAAAAAATAGAGAGGAAGAAAGTGACATATATCAAAATGACAAAAAAATAAATATATATATGTATATATATCAATAAAAAAATAAGTATTTTGACAAAATTGTCCCTATCCGGTTAGTACTTGTTGATAAATATGAACGATGATTAAAATTGATATAGTTCAAAAAGCCTAGGATTTAAGCTTATACACTTAAAAATTCATGGTTTTATTTATTTCTGGGTCAAATCTTGGCAGTGTTTGTTTTGGTAAATTTTCTTCTGTTTTTTTTGGTGAAAAATTCTTTGGGCTTTCCAACCGTCCAAGTTTAAATGGGCCGATCTAGTATTCCAATGGCCCATAACAGTTTTGGGTAGGTTGGCTTAATATGGGCCAACAAAACCTAACAAAATGCCTTTAAATTTGTTTCCTGCCAACTATCAAGGTTCACAAATATGTATAACCTCTTCACGAAGGAAAAAAAAAAAGAAAAAAAAGTCTCCAATACTAAAAGAAAATGATGGAATTCTTATATCCCCTTCTTTCAAATGGATGACTCTAACCTAAAATAAAAATAAAAAATAAAAAATTATTCAATATTTCCAGAATATAAGTTTTACTCCTACTTCATTCACCTTTGTCTTTCTTTTATTTTTTATTTTTTTTATTTTTCTTCTTCTACACAAATCAAAGATCCAAACATAACTTAAAGATTTATATTGTATATATAACAAAAATGTTTTCAAAATTAACTAATCATATCTTGCAAAATATAATGTCACGAGTAAAAAACCTTCCTCTTATTTTATCACTTCCAAGATTTGCTTATTTAAGTTTAAAAAATAATTAAAAACTAAATTTTTTTCAGAAAGTAAAGAAATTTAAAGATTAAAGTTCATAACGATATAATGTCATGAGAAGCATATACCTCAAACTTAAAATTATATGGTACAACTAAAACCTTTGTCCAAATGCATAAACAACATATTGCCTCCGAAAAAAATACAAAAAAAAAGTTTTATCTCCCAGGCAAAAAGAGAACCAAAAAGAAGAACAAGAAAGCAAATCAACAACCACCCATTCAAAAGGCAAAAACATCACTTGAAAGGGGAGCATTTTGTTCACCACTGAAATTTCCTCCTCCGAGAACAAAGAGGCCTATTGACTGATACGGTGGTGACATATTAGCGGCAACAAATGCATAATTTATATTCGGTATCTAGCAAGAGGGTCCTTAAGGAGGAGGCGTTCATGGTAGATTCTCCACGCATAATCCTCGAAAGAAAATGAATTGAATTTGAACGCCCCATCTTCTCTTGTATCTGCACTAGTATCACCATTATCATCATCGTCTTCTTTGTTGAGCTGGTTGTCCTCTTCACCATTATAAACAGTGAGCTTTGGAAGGAGGGGAGAGACCATGCTTTCTAGAGGAAGAGTTACCAACAACGACATTGATATGCAGTGTGCATTGTTGTTGTTGCTGCCATCTTCAAAACTTGGAACTGGTCTTCCTCTCACTTTCTTCATCTTTCCATTGCTCCACACCTGTCAATTCATTCATTCAATTATACATCACATACATTAGAATAGAAGAAGGCTAAGATGATCATTTTCTTGGTTAATCAGACTCAAAAGGTAGGGAAAAAAAAACAAAACAAAACAAAACAAAACACCACATGAACAAAGAGTTGAGAAAAACAAACAAACTCATTCAATTTGCAATTAAAAAGAGAGAGAGAGAGAGAGAGAGAGAACAGAAACTGCATCAGCATGAACTAATCATATCCTTGTATAATTGTATTTCGCCAATTACATCATTATATTTTCTTCTTCAGCTAATCATATGCAAGAATGTCCAATTATTATTATTGTACGAAAATAATTTTCAAAATTTTTTAAAGTGTTTCCTAAAAAGGGTATTTTAAGATAATTTTTTCAAAACTAATTTTGGACAATAGTTTGTCAAACAACGGGGTGTTTGGGAACTTAGTTTTTGGATTTTTTTTTGTTTTTTTTTCATTACAAGACAAATGTTTTACAAAACTAAAAAAGACAAATCCAAACAAAATATCATATCAAACCCCATAATCATTTCACTTTTTCTCTCACAAACATTACATCCAATCACAAAAAAACTCAACTATCTTCTCAAACACAAAAAAAAAATTCTCCAATAATATCCTACAACTAAAAAAACCTACAAAAAAATCCACTTTCCAAACACCCAAAAACGTTTCCTTAATCAATTTTCATTTTCCTAACAGTAGAGAATAATTTAAAAAAAAAAAAAAAAACATACCAAAGGCTAGTCATTGTCAAAAAATCCTCCTTGAGTTTGAGGGGGGCTGTTAGAATATAATATGTAAAGTGTTGCTTTAATAATTAGGTTAGTATAATAATTAGTATGCTTTAATAATGTACCTTTAATAATGTTGTTTGGTTTGTGCTTCTACTTTAGGTTTGTAATTGTTCTCCCTCTCCTCTATAAAGGAGAGAGCTCAACACAACATTTAATACATCTATCAATACACAATTTATTCTTTCCTTTTATCTATACATGTTATAGATTAAATCTTTCATGGTATCAGAGCTAAGTTAACCACCTAGTAATTTCGCTTCACCGGCGGGCGGCAGCCTCGCCTTGGCCGCCCGCCGGACGATGAGAAAACTAAGCACATAACATGTCTGCCATACCTCCCAGTTTCGATCCTCCGCGGCCGCTTCCGTCGCCAGTGAGTGATGCCATCTGCTACTTATGCATACCATGCAGCCCAGTGGCTTCCCCATCAACGATGCAACAACCCATGCAATACAGCCCATTAGCCTCCCCGTCAACCATGCAACTGCAAAACAGGTCTTACAGCCCAGCGGCCTCCCCATCTCCATCGACGACACCGAACCTTTTTTCCACTTCCGAAAAAGTCAGTTCCCCAGAGGGCAGTGTTTTGCTGGGATCCTCGTCAAATGACTTGGCTTGCTCAAGGTATGCATCCATACGCGGTGTGGCAAACATGCGCAGCTTTTCCACATCATCACCTTTTGCAGCATAACGCTGGCGATTATGGGAAGTCTCTGAAGAGAGTGCGAAAGGACGCCCTTGCTTTTCGTAGATTTCCTGAGATTTCATCAACCTTTTTATCTGTTGCAGCTCAGATTTCAGCATCTCAATCAACGGCACACACACAACACATGCACATCATTGACAAACCATACACCGAGCTCCATTCTCCACAGCCACAGACACACGGCAGCAGCAACCCAACATACACTCCACACACCCGACAAACACACACAGACCCAGCACACACAAGGGGGAGACCATACACACAGCTTCATACACGCTGCCATAGACAGAGCTTTATACACACTTATCACACCCACGGGTAGGACCTTTACACCCAGCAGAGGCATACACAACACACACAAGGACACTCGACACACCTCTCTCTCTCTCTCACAGAGCTCTCTCACTCTCTCGGCACCTCTCTCTCGGACTTCCTCCTTTCTTTTATTTTTTATTCATCATCATATTCTCCACCACCTTCCTTTCTTTTTTTTTAAACAATATTTTTTGAACCAAAACCATGTGCTGGTTTTAAACAAACTAATGGCCACCTATCCACCACAACCACACCCAGCTTTTCTTTTCTTTTTTTTTTATTTTTTTTTATTACCCACAAACCCCACTCCACTTTATCTATTTCTTTTAATTTTTTTTTCTCTTTATCTGTCTACCCATGTGTGTATCTCTTTATTCCCACTTCCTTCCCCTCTTCAATAAAATAATTCTCCACTACTTCATCTGCAAAAAAAAAAAAAAAAAAAAAAAACGCACACCCCACCTGCGTGGTCTCACTTTTTCCTTTTATTATTATTCTTATTATCTCAAATAATCCCTACACTCATGTTTTCCACTGGCAGTGTCCACTTTTGAACCCATCCCTACTTTATTTATTTTTAATCCATTTTCCTATGCCTTTCCCCACCACTTTTGACCCTAAAAATTTTCAACCCATCATTTCTCCTTCACCTTTGGCACCCCACTCACCCCAAAATAAAATACCTTTCTTTCTTGTCCAGCATGTGTCTCTCCCCTCATGGTGAGCATGGTTACACACCATGCGAACCACTCAAGCTGGTGAGCATGGTTATACACCATGGGAACCACCTAAGCCACCCCATATATGGTGAGTATGGTTACACACCATGCGAACCACTCAAGCTGGTGAGCATGGTTATACACCATGGGAACCACCCAAGCCACCCCATGGCGCACTCCCTAAACAATAGTTTGTCAAACAACGGGGTGTTTGGGAACTTAGTTTTTGGATTTTTTTTTGTTTTTTTTTCATTACAAGACAAATGTTTTACAAAACTAAAAAAGACAAATCCAAACAAAATATCATATCAAACCCCATAATCATTTCACTTTTTCTCTCACAAACATTACATCCAATCACAAAAAAACTCAACTATCTTCTCAAACACAAAAAAAAAATTCTCCAATAATATCCTACAACTAAAAAAACCTACAAAAAAATCCACTTTCCAAACACCCAAAAACGTTTCCTTAATCAATTTTCATTTTCCTAACAGTAGAGAATAATTTTCAAAAAAAAAAAAAACATACCAAAGGCTAGTCATTGTCAATGTTAGTATTATTAGTATACAGAAAAGCTGTAAAGTAAAGCATAGCTAGTTGTCATTTATATTATATAATATGTAATGTTTCTTGCTTTCGGTGTCTAACTTAGCATCCTATGCTGTCATCTCATCTCTATAAAGAGAGTGTTCATCTTCTTGTAATAACACACAGAAATACAGAGTTATTCATTTTGCTCTCTCTCCCTATCTTCTATCAATTTATAAAGAGAGTGTTCATCTTCTTGTAATAACACACAGAAATACAGAGTTATTCATTTTGCTCTCTCTCCCTATCTTCTATCAATTTATCTTACAGTCAAAAATGAAAATATGCTCAAGAAGATCGAATAATTGAACAAAATATGGTAGGCTTGGGTCCACCATTGCAGCATTGCTTCTCCACCTCTCCATCAGAAATCAATGGACATGGGCGGCCTTCCATGATTGTTTTTCCCCTTAAATAGATTGCAAGTGATGTTGACAGTTTAAGCCGGCCAACTCATCATTATTGTTTATTTTCTTAATATTAATATTATCAGATAAACAAGACAAGACTTGAGAGCTCTCCAACTCCATCACTACACACAACAATCGGATTTTAATACTCTCCATCAAAATGGGATTATTTGAGATGACCTAAATAAATGTATTTTTTATCTTTTTATAAAAAAATATACAGAAAAGTAGAAGGGTGATGTGACAAAAAAAAATAAAAAAATAAAAATATAGATTATTTAGGGAATGCGAAACCACCCATAAATATGACAATTGATAACTTCCAAGTTTTAATTTCCAAATTTAAATAAGTTCTAAAAAATTTCAAAATCATCTTTTAATTTTAAAATAAATGTTTGCGATGCAAACTTTTTTTGTATTCATTAATTATAAAATTAAAATTTGTATTTTATTCATTAAATTGGGGGATGTGTATCAATATATCTTCATTAGTTTGGTTAAGTGGGGTCCCTTTGGCGCCTATTACGGCCCTTTGTAACTTTTCTCATTCTATTTAACTGTTTTCAACAAAACCAAAAAACAAAAAAATAAAACAAAACAAAACATATATATTTTTTAAAAATTAATTTAAACAACCCCAACACACAAGTACAGGGTCAAATTGATTTCATTTGAAATGAAGTTAATCCAATCAAAACCCATGTTGAAGTCATCAAAAAAAAAAAAAATGGAATAAAAAAAAAAAAAAATGGAACAAAAAAAAAAATCTAATCAATTGGTAACAACTTAATATGAATAAGAGTCTTAAACAACTTTTTTGGATCACAAAAACAAAAAATATATTATAAATTATAATAAAATATGATAATGTTAGATAAATTATGAATATAGTTTAAAACTATCAGAACAATATTTGAGAAACTTGTTTAAAATCTTTATTTAAATTGATTGTATATCAAAAATAAAGTTCGAAAAGTGATGAAAAAAATTTAAACAAATGGAAAGGACCTATCTTAAACCTTGATTAATTGCGTACATTTGCATCAAAAAAAGATTAATTGCGTACATGAATATTTATTATTAACATTATATAAATTAGAGGCGTCACTGTTTGGGTTCATGAACTGTTAATTGTTTTAGACCACAATGTAAAGGTCATCACAAATTTTTTAGGTCGATCTGTTGTCATCTAAAAAATTAGTGGTTAAAATTAATGGTTCAGATTGGGCCATTTTGGAAACACACCAAAAAAATTAATTTTTTGGCTTTTTAACTTTTTTTTGCCAAAAAAAGTCAATTTTTTTACCCAAAACAACCCAATTTTTTGTCAAAAAAATCAAAAAAATCATCTTTTTACCAATTTCTCAAAACACTCCATTATCAAAATGAGACCATAATAGATCTAACAAGTCTAAATAACATTGTCCGGTTTACATCTACTTCCATATAAAATTATTACATTTTACAAATTTTTTGTATTTATAATAAGGGTGTGTGTAGTACGGTTTTAGTAATTTGAGAGTAAAATTATAAATTGAATAGAAGATTAGCAAATCACAATTTTAGACAGATTGACGGATTGAAGAATATTCAAATCAATTATCAAGTATTTACATAATATAAAATACTAATTTACATAATATTTTTCATATATATAACACAATAATTTTATATAATATTTTCATAGATATATAACTATTAATTTGTAAAAAATTTCATATCTTAAATTTTTTTCCACACTGATTTTTATTTTGATATTTCATTAGAAGTTAAAAAATATATATTTATTAGTTATAACGGAGCGGTGTGATTTCGAAAACGGATTATAAAATTTAAAGTTTAATTCGTGATTAGTGGATTGATGCAGATCAATATGATTTTAACGGATTAAGCAATATTTTACACCGTCTTAATTTATTAATACGACACTTATCTATATTATTGATAACCAAACCAAACCTTAAGTCCCATCAAATAGAATCGGTTACATGAATCTTCCTTCTCCATACGATTCAATCAAAGGTTATTTTATCAATCAAATTAAATAGATCTATATTACTATTTATAATGTTAGCCAACGTTAATTTAAGTCTACCCAATCCCTGATACTTTCATCTACAGCATTGCATTTCTTCATTATGCAGATTCTAAAAGTTCATTTTTATATGCCACATCATTTTATTTTACCTGAGCAATGTCGCCGAGTGTGACCAGGATCGAGTCGACCCGAGGCGAGTCCGAAACCCAACCCGAATCCGCCAGCAATGAGTACTTCCGGCACCTGATTTGGTACTCTAACCCGACTACATACGGGTAAAACCTAACCGTAGTGTTACCCGGAGACCCTTCCGAGATCCACATCAACGAACAGACCCGAGTGGGGTCCTCCCGGACCGGGTTCTCAAACCCCACCGCGCACGATAGCGCTTCGACCACCTCCAATCCTACCTTCTCCATTTCACGAGTGAACTCACGAAGCGAAGATAATGACAACTCGGTCGACTCGGGAGAACAAGCCGAGTCGAAACAGAACGAGTCAGAACTCGTTCCGTCATCATCCTCGTTGTCATCGCAGTCAAAGCCAAGCGGCCAGTTTTTGGGGAAATGGATTTGTTTTTGATCATTCGAGAGGGTGAAGAGAGAGAGGGAGTCTGACTCGGCGGAGCGAGCGAGTTGGGGAGAAATGGAGTGGTTGGTGAGGTGGAAGAATCCGAATTGGCAAGAGGCGGAGAGGAGGTCGGTGAGGAGGGTAGGGTTTTGGGGGGAGAGAGAGATGAGAGGAGGAGAGGTGGTGGTGGTGATGGTGGTTGGTGGAGGAGAGAGGCGCGTAGGGAGGGAGAGAGTGGGAGGGAGGCGGTGGAGCAGACGAGATAAAACGTCGGCGGAGGGGGCGGAGGAAGGGAGGGGATTGGGTTGGGTTGAGGGTGTCGGTGGTGGAGCTGCAGTGGTGCCGTAGGGGTTTGGTAAGTGGTGAGTTGAGGACGCCATTTTTATGATTCGTAGACAGAGCGAAACAAGGGTAACGACAGATGGAGGACCCAGACACCTTTCACGGTTTCACTCAAATATAAGCACCAGGGAACATGAAATGCATTATGAAATTTGATTAATGTGTAATTTTTTATTGCATATATAATTTAAAAGTTCAGAATTTTTCGTGATAATATTTATGATATTTTTTTTTATAATTCCTAACAGTACTTATATGCACCAGAGACAATTGATGTAGCATGTTCTTGTTTGGGAAGATGATTTTGGTTTAAATAATAAATAAAAATAAAATAAATTAAAATAATTGATAAAATAAAATATTATATATAAATTATATTTTTTTTTTCACATCTGTTAAATCAATTAAAAAAATTAATTAACTTTCTAAACATAACATTTTTAGTCAAAAATAGTTAAAATGCCAAAAAAATTAACTAAAATAACCAACTTTCTGAAGTAATTCAAAATAATAAAATATGGTATTTTGCAAATTTATGATAAGATATTTTGAAAAAATTACAAATCAATGGAATAGTAAAAAATATATTTTTTTTACGATAGTATAAATTTTCTGTATGCATGGTTCAAATCCTTTGTGTTTGGTATAAATCTTCTTGGGCAAATTATATTAAACCTCCTTTAAACTATCAATCATTTACACTTTATCCCCTCAAATTATTTGAAAACTATTTGAATTTGAACATTAAATCTTTTTGTTAGTCCTCTATAAAATATATTTGAATGAAAAATTATCATGTGTTATGCACATGATGGAGGACTCAGACAACTTTTACAGTTTCACTCAAATACACTAGAGACAATTGATGTGGCCTGTTTGGAAAGATGATTTTGGTTTAAAATAACTATAAAATAAATTAAAACCGTTAATAAGATAAAATATCACATTTAAGTTATAATTGCTTTATTTTTTTTACAATTATCAAATTAATTATTAAAAAAAAAAGCCAATCAACTTTTTAAACACAACTTTTTTAGTTAAAAAAATAAAAAAGCTAACTAAAATAGCAAATTTTGCAAACCAATCCAAAATAATAAAATAATGGTATTTTACAAATTTATGACAAAATATTTTGAAAAAATTACAAATCAATGGAACAGTAAAATATATATATGATGGTATAAATTTTCTGTATGCATAGCTCAAATCCTTTATATGTTTGGTACAAAAAATTTTTATGCGTTAGAATTGTACCATAAAAGATTTAAGGGGAAATTAACATGATAACTTTTTTTTTTTTTTATGGTACTTAGAAAATGTATTATCATGATACTTTTAAAAAAATTATTATAGGTACATGAAAAAAATTATAATTTTAATAATTAATATCCGTAAATTTTATCACTTATCTATAATTATCTCTTAGAATTTGAACTAAATTGAAATTTTTCCAAGATTTAATCCATAATATAATAATTTTTTTATTGTATCACTGATTTATAATTTCTCTAAATATTTTAAAATAAAAATAGTGTGGGTTTTCAAGTTTAAAGGCAGCATTAAATTATTGCCAAAATAAGTTTTTCAGAATAAAAAGTACTTTTCAATTTAAATCACACATTAATCCTAATGTAGTGTGGTCCTTATATTTGGAATGAATGTGTTTTAGATGGCAGAGGTCTTAAAAGATTTATTAAATTTTTTATCAAATATTTTATATGGGTATAAGTATTAGACCTCATGTGAGAGATTTGATAAAAATTTTGATAAATCTTTGAAATCTCTAACATTTTCCATTTTAGATATGAGTAATATTACAATGCATATTTCTTATTTGATGTCGCACATGGTAAGTTTATTATTTTAGTGTAAATTATTTATAAGTCATATTTGGAAAACTTATACAAAATATGGTCCTGAAAAAACTTATAATCCAATAAATCCTTTGGTTTTCTTGTGAACACATTTACCCTCAATCTTAATTAATTAATAATCTAATTAATGATAATACCATATATGGGAAATACAATGTTACTATATATTGTGATCATATCTATATAGTTAAAAATTTAAAATTTAAAATAACATAATTAATGGCGATATCATATATGAAAAATCTAATATTACCATAGATTGTGATCATATTTTAAATACTTAGAAATTTAAAATTCAAAATAACCTAATTAATGGCAATATCATATATGGGAAACCCAATATTACCATAGATTGTGATCATATCTATATGATTAGAAATTTGAAATTTGAAATGTAAATGTATCATATGATATTTTCAAACCCAATGTGACATTTCTAAACTCAACGTGACATTCTCATATGCTTCTAAAATTTAAAATAACTTGATTAATGGCAATACCATATATGGGAAATCTAATGTTACCATAGATTATGATCATATTAATATGGTTAGAAATTTGAAATTCAAAACATAAATGTAACATGTGACATCCCAAATTCAAGGTGACATTCTCAAACTCAACGTGACATTCTCATATACTTCTCATTCCAAACCCAACGTAAATGTAACAAGTAACATTCCAAACTCACCGTGACATTCCCATATGCTTCTTATCCCAATCCCAACATGACATTTCAATACTCCACCATTGAATTATGAATAATATAACCTCCTAAATGTAACATGTAGCATCCCAACCCAACTCATGTATTGAACTACCATCACCCACAACTTAGCGTAACTTCAACATCAAACGATGAAATTCAATCCACATTCAATTACAAACCTAATTCCCCAATAATTTTGCACAATGTACACTGACATGCATGTAAACACTGATTACAACAAAGACACAATACACATTCAAACGCATATACAACCGAATAAACACACAAATGTCATCTACTACATGGTGCATGTGGATTAACGTTACACACTAAATGTAACATGCATTATAAAACTATCATCCAGGTCCCAATGTACAATTGCCATCATATGACGTAGTTCACATTCGACATCCAATTAACAATCAAAACCAAACACTTCCAACTCAACTCTTGAACCCATACACACCACTCCACACATCGAACATATCAAACTGCATCCACCATCATAATGTTAAACACACACATTCGATCAGAACATTGGCCAACGTGTACCTATTAATAAATGTAATAGATTGTCAATGCCCTATTAAAGATGAGCAATCCATGCACTTCAACAAACAGTAACACACTCCAACAACAACAAAAAAACATCTTTCCCTCAACTGATTGAAGTTGAAATCTGTCGAAGGAATCAACACACAACTATCAAACTTCATCATATTATTGACTATATCCACATCCATTTAAGTAACATTTTGAAAATGCACTGGAATTTAGCGATCAAGGCCAAAAAACTCGCACTGTCGTTGTCTATAGACTCGTCTTTCCTAAATGCCTTCCCAAATATAATATGATGAATGAGAAAATAAGGTACAATATAGAAACAAATTGCGGGTATAATAGTACACTAATATCATTCATTTATAACTCATAGGACTTTATGGAATGCAACCCTATTTAAATAGGATTTCAAATTCTAAAAGAATATTCATAGGATTTTACATTAAATAAGTCTTCCAAATATAACTTATAAATAATTTTTCCATTATTTTATTAATATCTAATTAATTTGCATGTGTTACCTTAAAAATGATATATGAAATGTGATGAAAGAAAACGATCATTATAAAATAATACATAATTATACAAACAATTCTCCGTTTGTCAAGTGAGTTGAGATTAATTTAGTTTATTACAGGACAAAATAGGTTAAAAAATTAATAAGACAAAATCTCACATTTAAACAATAATCATTTAATTTTTTTTTTCCTACGAAACTATATGAAAAGCCAAAAGTTCTTTTTAAACGGAAATTTTTTTTTTTTTTTTTTTGGTTGAAGTGTTAATGGAGGCCTAAGCCCAACTATAGAGAAGAATTACGCAAGGACCCAAATCCTTGCAGGTCCTGATCTAACAAGGAGAGCAATAAACTAGGAGGCACCGACAACATCTCCGATCCGCTGCTGCTTGACTGATTTGGCTAGGTGGTCTGCACAGATATTTGTCTCACGCCAAATGGGTTGCAAATTACAACACCAATCTCTAGCTATAAGAGCTCGAATTTCATGACATAGGTTGAAGTTAGGGTCAGCTTTTTCCCAACGTTGGATAGATTGGATGACAACTGATGGAGTCCATGCCAAATAGCCCAAAATTTAGCCGTAATCGTCGTGGTTTCACCGATGAAATGTTGAAAACCAATACACCACTCCCCTTGATTTGATCCGATTAGTCCTCCAGTACCAGCTAGGCCAATTGTACCCAGAACTGACCCATCAACATTCAATTTAACCCAACTGGGAGGTGGACGACTCCAACTCATCATGAGGGGGGTGTGTTGCCTCCGCAACAAATACAAGGCCTTAGCTTCAATTGCCTCAGTAATTCATTTGCGAATTATAGTAACAGGGGCTCAAGGAGGAGAGAAGGAGTCATGCACCCTAAACAGAACTTTTTTTAGTCAGTTAAAATAATCAAAAAGTTAGATTAAAAAAGTTCTTCCTAACAAAGGCTAAAACAAGTAGTCTATCAAAGTAATATTGCTATATCATTCTAATGTAAAATAATGTATCAAAATTGTGGTGAAATAACAATTTTGTTATAATTACAAACTAAACTATCAACCATTTTAGTAATTACTCGCATATGTGTGGGACCGGCATACATAGACTTCTACACATGCAAATAATTGGTACTTTAGAGTTCTACAAATATGTGAATAGTTGATAAAATAATTGATAATTTAATTTTTCCATATTTCTTTTTTATTATAATATTTTTCAGTAAATTAAGGGCACCACCTATTGAACCTAATCACTGTGTATTTGAACAAATATTTTCCAATTTTTTATGAGTTCAAAGGTGATATCTCATTCACTGTCATGCAATGCAAACCTCAGTATTTTCATTCTTTTCTCTTTCCTTTTTAAAATATACTAAAAAATTAATAATTTTGAAGATGAGTGGCAGGCTGCTGCCATGTTGTGAGGGAAGTTGTACCTCCTGGTGGTAGGCTATGTGTGGGAACTTTACGCTTTG